TATAATGGTCGCTACCGCCCAGTCCTCGTTTAGCGACCGTCTCCGACAGCGACTATGCGCAGGTACGAGGGTGTGGAAACAGTAACTTTGCGGCCAGCCATTCCCATCTGCGACCTTGGCAAGGCTGCAAAGCCGATGGAAAGCTTAGCCACTGTTTCACTCAACGACCGAATTGCCGGCCCCAATTTCGCTTGCTAAAGGAGGACAGCCTCTGTCTTGATTTCTAAGCTGTTGCTGGGGGGGAAAAGAAATCTGAAACAGAATTGAGTTTCAAGCTGAGAACTAGGCATTTTGGGGGTTCCCTTTCTGCAAACCGAGGCTCCTACTATTTAGAACGGGGGATGTCCAAACTCGGCAACTTTTAAAGACTTGTGGGCTTCAGTTCCCAGAATTCCTCAGCCAGCTGGCAATTTCTGGGAGCTGAAGCCCCGAGGTTTGATCTATATACCCTTCAGCCCTTAATATCCCCCCCCCCTCCAGGATCAGTTTCTCTCCCAGGGAAGGGGCCAAAGGAGCGGCTTAAACCCCTGCCCTGTTTTTAAAGATGGGATTGCTTGCGCTTCTTGGAGAGGGATTTAAAAGCAGTGGCCTCCAGCTGTCAAACTTCACTACCCTGTTTTTAAAAACGAAAATATTTCCATCCTTTGGACCAGTTTGAAACAGTCCCCTTCCAGCTGCCGAAGCTCACGGCCATGTTTGAAAAGGTGGAGTTGCAAATACCCCTGGGAGGCGCATTTAAAAGCCGCGGCCTCCAGCTGCCGAAGCTTAGGGCTGTGGTTTTATTTTATTTTTTTAAAAAAGGGAAATATTTGCATCCCTTGGGGATGCCGAAGAACAGTCTCCTCCAGCTGCTAAAGCTCTCACCCTCCACACACCACCCTCTTGCACACTTAAGTGATCCCCACACACACACACACACATATCGTCCCCAACTGTACGTACTCGCCAGGACCACCGCAGTAGCAGTAACACTGCTGCTGGTTCGTTCTGTGCAAGGAATCCCATTCCAGCTGCTCCGGATTGTAGCACAGGACCATTTTGATCATCTGCAGGGTCCGGGCGATGGGTCCCTTTCGCAAGGCGCCCCCTTTCTGGAGAAGAAACAAGCAACAAGTGTTTACTTGGCATTCTCACGTCGTTCGTGCCTTCTTCTTTTATCTATTAGACAAAGCGTAGCAATCTTTTTTTGTTTTTTTAATTATCTGCTAATCAAGTCTCTATAGAGAGATACTCGGTCGTCCAAGTCATGGCTGTCCCAAAGATGCTTTTTCAAGAGGCAACTGGACTTCCTTTGTTTTTCTTTGAAGACGTTTCGCTTCTCATCCAAGAAGCTTCTTCGGCTCTGACACTGGATGGTGGGGAATGGAAGGATTTATACTCCTTGCAGACAGAGCTGGTCATTTGCCTTCTTTTAGAGAGCCGTTGAGGCCACTTGGAGGTTTATCTGTGTCCTCCGGGTCACCTGAGCGGTGCAAATGGGTGTGGAGTCTTCTCCACATACAGGGGCAGAAAACATCCTGCTGCCAAGAAGGCTCCACGCCCATTTGCACCACTCAGGTGACCCTCTCCAAGTGGCCTCAACGACTCTCTAAAAGGATGCAAATGACCAGCTCAACATGCCATTCAAAGCATCAAATTGATCAGGGAATCCAACCGGAAAAGCCCCTGGATGGATCCTCTGCAGGTCTATGCTTGGCACAGCACCGAGTGTCCACCTTTCCTTTTTGCTGTTGTTTCAAACTCCTTAGATTTTCCCCCGCGGGAATAGCAACCAGGAAAAAAACTCTTTGTATGCCACTCACCCTCACAGCTAGTACAAAAATACATCTCCGACAAAACCAGGGGGTCACCAGGGACTCTTCAAGGCTGCCCACCAGAGGAATGTGGCACTGCTGGTGGTAACCTGAGTAGGGGGAAAAAACAGAAGGTTTTAAGCTTCGATGCAGGAGCATCGACGACGTTACCACAACAACCCCATTCCGGGTCAATACAAGTCACGGAGGATGTTAGCTAGTTGGTCATAAAACATCTGCAAGAAAACCAGCAGAGAGCATTGCTTTCCCCCCTCTTCCTCCTCCTCCACTCCGCAAACCCCACACCCATCTAGCACTGATGAGGTTCCCTAGTTGGGTCATGAAACGTCTACAAGGAAACCACTATGCTCAAAGAGCACCAAGGATCTGAGTCGTCGTCTTCTTCTTCTTCTTCTTCTTCTTCTTCTTCTTCTTCTTCTTCTTCTTCTTCTTCTTCTTCTTCTTCTTCTTCTTCTTCTTCTTCTTCTTCTTCTTCTTCTTCTTCTTCTTCCTCCTCCTCATCCTCATCCCATCTTCTCCTCCTCCATCTTCTTTTCCTTCTCCTTCTCCTTCTCCTTCTCCTTCCTTCTTCTCCTTCTCCTTCTCTTCCTTCTTCCTCTTCTTCCTCTTCTTCCTCTTCTTTCTCCTTCTTCTTCTTCTTCTTCTTCTTCTTCTTCTTCTTCTTCTTCTTCTTCTTCTTCTTCTTCTTCTTC